TCTATGGACAGAGGAGCCTGGTGGGCTACAGTCCAAGGGGTCACAAAAATATCAGACACGACTGAGCGACTAACAACATACATATTATGTGCATGTGTGCATGTGACTGTTAATAATACACCCAAGGTACCTCCATCTCACAAAGCAGTTTCCTTCAAAGTTCTCATGAGCCAACTCTTTTCTGCCAGCTTCTTTTTTTTTCCATTTATTTTTATTAGTTGGAGGCTAATTACTTTACAATATTGTAGTGGTTTTTGTCATCCATTGACATGAATCAGGCATGGATTTACATGTGTTCCCCATCCTGATCCCCCCTCCCACCTCCCTCTCCACCCGATCCCTCTGGGTCTTCCCAGTGCACCAGGCCCGAGCATTTGTCTCATGCATCCAGCCTGAGCTGGTGATCTATTTCACCCTAGATAATACACATGTTTCAGTGCTGTTCTCTCGAAACATCCCACCCTCGCCTTCTCCCACAGAGTCCAAAAGTCTGTTCTGTACATCTGTGTCTCTTTTTCTGTTTTGCATAGAGGGTTACCGTTACCATCTTTTTAAATTCCATATATATATGTGTTAGTATACTGTATTGGTCTTTATCTTTCTGGCTTACTTCACTCTGTATAATGGGCTCCAGTTTCATCCATCTCATTAGAACTGATTCAAATGAGTTCTTTTTAAGGGCTGAGTAATATTCCATGGTGTATATGTACCACAGCTTCCTTATCCATTCATCTGCTGATGGGCATCTAGGTTGCTTCCATGTCCTGGCTATTATAAACAGTGCTGCGATGAACATTGGGGTGCACGTGTCTCTTTCAGTTCTGGTTTCCTTGGTGTGTATGCCCAGGAGTGGGATTGCTGGGTCATGTGGCAGTTCTATTTCCAGTTTTTTAAAGAATCTCCACACTGTTCTCCATAGTGGCCGTACTAGTTTGTATTCCCACCAACAGTGTAAGAGGGTTCCCTTCTCTCCACACCCTCTCCAGCATTTATTGCTTGTAGACTTTTGGATAGCAGCCATCCTGACTGGCGTGTAATGGTACCTCATTGTGGTTTTGATTTGCATTTCTCTGATAATGAGTGATGTTGAGCATCTTTTCATGTGTTTGTTAACCATCTGTATGTCTTCTTTGGAGAAATGTCTGTTTAGTTCTTTGGCCCATTTTTTGATTGGGTCATTTATTTTTCTGGAATTGAGCTGCAGGAGTCGCTTGTATATTTTTAAGATTAATCCTTTGTCTGTTGCTTCATTTGCTATTATTTTCTCCCAATCTGAGGGCTGTCTTTCCATCTTGCTTATAGTTTCCTTTGTTGTGCAAAAGCTTTTAAGTTTCATTATGTCCCATTTGTTTATTTTTGCTTTTATTTCCAATATTCTGAGAGGTGGGTCATAGAGGATCCTGCTGTGATTTATGTTGGAGAGTGTTTTGCCTATGTTCTCCTCTAGGAGTTTTACAGTTTCTGGTCTTACATTTAGAAAAAATTAGGGCAGAAATAAATGCAAAAGAAACTAAAGAGACCATAGCAAAAATCAACAAAGCTAAAAGCTGGTTTTTGAAAAAATAAACAAAATTGACAAACTGTTAGCAAGACTCATTAAGAAACAAAGGGAGAAGAACCAAATTAACAAAATTAGAAATGAAAATGGAGAGATCACAACAGCTAACACTGAAATACAAAGGATCATAAGAGACTACTACCAGCAGCTCTATGCTAATAAAATGGACAACTTGGAAGAAATGGACAAATTCTTAGAAAAGTATAACTTTCCAAAACTGAACCAGAAAGAAACAGAAGATCTTAACAGACCCATCACATGCAAGGAAATTGAAACTGTAATCAGAAATCTTCCAGCAAACAAAAGCCCAGGACCAGATGGCTTCACAGCTGAATTCTACCAAAAATTTAGAGAAGAGCTAACACCTATCCTACTCAAACTCTTCCAGAAAATTGCAGAAAAAGGTAAACTTCCAAACTCATTTTATGAGGCCACCATCACCCTAATTCCAAAACCAGACAAAGATGCCACAAAAAAAGAAAACTACAGGCCAATATCACTGATGAACATAGATGCAAAAATCCTTAAGAAAATTCTAGCAAACAGAGTCCGACAACATATTAAAAAAAAATCATACATCATGACCAACTGGGCTTTATCCCAGGAATGCAAGGATTCTTTAATATCTGCAAATCAATCAATGTAATACACCACATTAACAAGTTAAAAGATAAAAAACATATGATTATCTCAATAGATGCAGAAAAAGCCTTTGACAAAATTCAACACCCATTTATGATAAAAACTCTCCAGAAAGCAGGAATAGAAGGAACAACCTCAACATAATAAAAGCTATATATGACAAACCCACAGCAAGCATTACCCTCAATGGTGAAAAATTGAAAGCATTTCCCCTAAAATCAGGAACAAGACAAAGGTGCCCACTCTCACCACTACTATTCAACATAGTTTTGGAAGTTTTGGCCACAGCAATCAGAGCAGAAAAAGAAGTAAAAGGAATCCAGATAGGAAAAGAAGAAGTGAAACTCTCGCTGTTTGCAGATGACATGATCCTCTACATAGAAAACCCTAAAGACTCTACCAGAAAATTACTAGAGATAATCAACAAATACAGTAAAGTTGCAGGATATAAAATTAACACACAGAAATCTCTTGCATTCCTATACACTAACAATGAGAAAACAGAAAGAGAAATTAAGGAAACACCACTCACCATTGCAACAAAAAGAATAAAATACTTAGGAGTATATCTACCTAAAGAAACAAAAGACCTATACATAGAAAACTATAAAACACTGATGAAAGAAATCAAAGAGGACACAAACAGATGGAGAAATATACCGTGTTCATGGATTGGAAGAATCAATATTGTCAAAATGACTATACTACCCAAAGCAATCTATAGATTCAATGCAATCCCTATCAAGTTACCAATGGTATTTTTCACAGAACTAGAACAAATAATTTCACAATTTGTATGGAAATACAAAAAACCTCGAATAGCCAAAGCAATCTTGAGAAAGAAGAATGGAACTGGAGGAATCAACCTGCCTGACTTCAGACTCTACTACAAAGCCACAGTCATCAAGACAGTATGGTACTGGCACAAAGACAGAAATATAGATCAATGGAACAGAATAGAAAGCCCAGAGATAAATCCACAAACCTATGGACACCTTATCTTCGACAAGGAGGCAAGAATATACACCACGTTAACAAGTGGTGCTGGGAAAACTGGTCAACCATTTGTAAAAGAATGAAACTAGAACACTTTCTAACACCATACACAAAAATAAACTCAAAATGGATTAAAGATCTGCCAGCTTCTTAAAAGTGGACGTATGTCACAAATATGAGGGCCATTGGGGCCAGGGCTGGGAGCGTATAAGGTGCTAGAAGTGCCCTTGTGGGTACCCCGCATTCACCCCCATATTCTCCCACCCACAACAGGAACTTCTTAAGTTCAAGTCACTTCCTGTTCAAGGAATCTCTCCGAGTGAAAATTCTTAAATATATAAGCAGCTTCATAAATAATATTAACCACCATGTCTTAAACAATAGTCAACAACTGGAATTAACCTCTGCCTGGTAAATGATAGCACATATACTCAGGCATTATGAAGCTCCTGAAACGGGTTGGAGACGGTTACCAAGTGTGAAGATACAAGGAAAACATGCTGGTTAGCATGTCCAATGATAAGAGTAAAATATAAAATTGTTTATTCAGGATGGCTTAAATCAGTGTTGCCCTAGAGAAGTATAATGCAAGCCACATACTTAAATTTTCATTTTTGAGTAGCCACACTTTAAAAAGTAAATATATATGAAATAAATTTTAATTATTTATTTTATTTAGCTTCATATAACCAAAATAGCATCTCAACAGATTAAATATTAAGTTATTAATATTTTCTTTTTCCTGGATCATGTCTTCAGAATTCAGCACATCTTTGAATTTATGTCTTTGAAATCATAACACATTTCAGTGTGGACTTGCCACATTCCAAGAACATAATATTAGCTACCTTACTAGACAGCACAGGTCTAACCCATCTAGAGATTTTTTTTTCCAAAGACTTAAGTATTAGGGTAAAAAAAAAAAAGGCTGGAAGGAACTATCAAAATCTTAATGATCACAGATTTTTCTCTGAGTGGTAGTAATATATATGTGATTTTTTCCCCCTTCTTCTGTTTTCCAAAGTGTCTAAATAAAATGAATTCTTATTACTTTTGCAACAATAGCAAAGTGTGTCTTTAATTTTAGAAGAGAAATGAGGGATTTAAAAGACCTGCCTGGGTGAACCACACCTGTCAAGCACTGATTTATTGATACCCCATGAGAGCTACCCCTGACCTCTGAACTTCTCCTTGCATACTGGTTGATTAGTTTAGTGGGTAGGTGGGTGGGTAGGTTGGATGGATGGGAAAAGAGAATGAAGGAAGGAAAAGTATTATTACTGGAGTTACAGGAGAAAACTAAACTCAGATCCTTGCTTCTAAATTCCAAAACAATCATTTATCAGCTGTATGATTTTAAACGAGCTATTTGACCCATCCACGCTTTAATTTGTTCAAGTATAAAATGGTGTTTTCATTTTCTGAAGTATAAAACGGCAATCATGATAGTAACTCCTTCAGAAGGCTTTTTGGGAGTGAAGTGAGATTATTTATACAGAGCATTCAACACAGTGCCTGTTGCACAGCCCGTGTTTCCAGAAACGCTGGCTGTTGTCCTCATGATGAACCTGTGAGTGGTGGGGTCAGGCTGTCTGGCTCATGGAGTGATGACACTCAGGACGCAGGCTACAGCCACGTGTGCCCTGGGTCCCTCCTGCTGCCGCCGTCCCCTCCACGTCCCATTCCTGCCCCATCAGTTGTAGCTGCTGTGAAGCCGGTCCTCAGGTTTGTGTGTGGTCCCTTCGCTCGACTCCCTGCCCACATCCCACCCGAAGACCCCAGTCCCCACGGCATAGCCCCGTACCTGCACCACCTCCGGCCTCACGTTGAAGGTGTACAGCCAGTCGCTGAAGCGAGGGTAGCTGTCGAGCTCCGAGGTCCTCTCGCCCGGGGCCACGCTCAGCTTGCACTGACACTGCTTGCAGATGTACCGGAGCAGCTTCGCCTGCGGGGAGCCCAGGACAGAAAAGTGGGTTCACTCGGGGCACGTGGACGTGATACGGGGAGCTCTGGCACACACGAGGGATGAGATGAGGACAGGGGCTTGCCAGGTGCCCCCTCTGCTGCCATTCAAAGGGGGAGGAGCAGGAAACCGAGGAGGCAGGAGGAGAGGAGGAGGGTCTGGGAGAGCCAGCAGGGAAACCTAGAGAACCACGCCCCACCCTCTGTCCCACCCAAGGCTGGCTGCCACACCACCCTCCCCACCTCCCACCAAGGACCACGCTCTTCAGAACGTAGAACAGAGAACGGGGTCACACGGAAGAAGGGCTTCCTGCTTGGGGGAAGGGGTAGTGGGAGTCAGCGATGGATGATGTGAAAAATGCAGGGGCTTGGGGAGGATGAGTAACCTCCCATTTAGGAGGCTTCCAGCCAAGAATCAGATTACCGGGGCTAGGACCCGAGGGCTCAGACACACCCGAGCCCTGTGACCTGGGACATGCTACAGAACAGCCCGCCCCCCAGGAAAGTCTCAGTTTCCTGCTCCAGAAAATGGGGGTAATAATAGAACCTCCCTCTCAGGGAGGCTGAGAAGAAACGACGCCCTCAGTATGAGTGCCCAGCCCACAGCATACACAGCCTGAGGGCCGGCCAGGCCGGTGGGCTGTGGCTCCATTGGCCAAGGTCCCTGACTGGGACCAGAAGGCTTTCAAGACCCGCTCCCTGAAATGCATGCAAACTTCAGACACTTGAATCTATGCGTTTTCCTGGCAAAGCCTGTCCATGGGTTTCAAGAGTCTCAAAACGCTAAAGCTTCAAATAATATAAGAGTAAATACTGGTATTCTGTTTGACAAACGCTGGGCGACCGCCCCACACTGGGCTGAGGAATGCGGAGCGGCAAGACCTTCAGGGCAGAGAGCAGCCGGGACTGAAGAAGAGGGAGTAGACTCCAACAGAGGGAAATGAGCGATAACCCAAAAAGGGCAAGGCTCCACTGAGTCTCAGCGACCCGGGGACCCCACAAGAGCTGCCGAGATGGTGGCTTGGGAGCTTCCCCTCAAGACAAGCACTACCTTCAAAGTCTTGCATGAAGGAACCCTGCCCTTGGGAGCCACTTCCCAGTACCTGCTGCCCCCTTGAGAGTTTTTGCTGTTGTTAATTCATTCCTTGTTCTTTCATCTGCAAATATCTCAGGGTATCCAACTCTTTGAGACCCTATGGACCCTAGCCCACCAGGCTCCTCTGTCCAAGGGATTCTCCAGGCAAGAATACCGGAATGGAGGGCTGTGCCCTCCTCCAGGGGATCTTCCCAACCCAGGGATCGAATTCACGTTTCCTTTGTCTCCTGCATTGGCAGGCAGGTTCTTTTCACTAGCACCACCTGGGGAGCCCTTCTCCAAGTGTGACCAGAAGCCATTCCAAATTCAGGACCTCAGCTTTCTTTTCCAGCCTCATCTCCATTCCACCCTACCACTGACCCACCCAGTCCTCCAGGTCAGCACTCACCTAGGAGCTGTTCCTCAAATGTTAATAACTTTCTGTATGTCCGTACTCCTGGGCCTCTGCTCAAATGTCTGTAGTGGCTGGAAGTCCTTCTGTCTTCTGGTCAAGACCCCCTGGGCTAATTGGAATCTACCCCTTCTCCCCTCCATAGTGCCCTGTCCACACTTCTCTGGGAGCCGCTATCAGGGGCCTCATGTTCAGGCTGCTAACCGGGTCTCCCCCTACAGATGTGAGCTCCCGGGGCAGTGAACACAGCACAGATTTCAGAGTTGAACAGAATCTGGATTCAATACTGGAACTCCAACTGAAAATCTTAATTTATCCACTTAAAAAAAGAACTGTAATATATAGTAGAACTACATGTAACTTTGTTCTGTATTTTGCGATGTCTTGTAACATAAATGTGTTATCAGACTTTGATAAATTAATGTGTTATGTAAATGTGTTATTATACTTTCATAATTAAAAAAAAAGAATCTGATTCAGATCTAGTTTCTGTCATTTAACTGTGTGACCTTAGGGAAGCTCATTAATTTTCCTGAGTCTTGGTTCTCTCATCTGTACAACAGCAAGGATGATTCCAGCTCACAGTCGGCTGGGAGGATTGAACTATAGTACAGAAACTCCCCCCCCAAAACTAGGTTAGTCCCCCATTATTATACATCAGGGCAGGAAGTATGCCCACCTCACTGGACTGTCCCCACAAGCCTACTACTGCACCTGGCACACAGCATGTGCTCAAAGATGCCTGAGAAAGAAAGGAGGGAAGGAAATACAGGGGCCTCATCCCCACATTAAACGGTTTCTTACAGCCTGCCCTCCACTCCAAACTGCTCTCAAACCACAGCGTCAAATTGCTGACCAAAGACAGGGCAATAAATCAATTAACTGTGCAAAGTCAAAACCATTCTCTTCCGCCTGAAGCAACGAGGTCGGGCTGCTGACACTGACATCAGCAGCAAAGAGGTCTATCCATCCCCAGCCTGAATGCTTCAAGGGCCACACCCCTGGGAGCTGATGAATAACCTGTTCATTGTGCTAAGACTTCAGCCAACACAGGGCACCATCCAGATCAGCCAACCTGGCCTTGGCAATGAGCCAGGATCTGGGGGCTTCTCTCATTCAGCCCCATCAGCAAGTCCAGCCCTTTTCGGCCTGCAGACCCTCAGCCCTTGTCCCTCTGCTAGGAAGGCTCTTCCCAGTGACCCCTCAGCCTGCACAACTCAGCTTAGATATCCATCCCGCCAGAAAGACTCCCCCAAGCCCTTCAGCCCTCCTCCTCACAGCCCCAGCCCTTCTCCTACAACAGGTCACAGCCCCAGCCCTTATCCTCTACCAGATCACACATTTAGTGTTTGGCCTGTCTGCTTCCTTCTTTAGATGGGAAAATCCCTCAGGCCAGGTGCCTGGTCTATGTTCTTGATCACCTGATCACCACTATGTCCCCAGGAGCCAGCATAGCACCTGGCACGCGGTCTGCTATGGTAAAACCTTTGTTGAATGAATGAACAACTGAATACACATTACATTCTGTAGCCCCGACAGGCACTCATATTTACTAAAATGAGAGTCAAAAACAAACGTCAGTTAGGCAAGCGATGGCTCAGGAGAGTCTCAAAAATCAGGGTGAGTTCCCCTGAAGCGGAGTGAGCAGTTTCTTTTTTTAAAGGCTGCCAGAGATCCTCACTCAGAGAAGGCAATGGCACCCCACTCCAGTACTCTTGCCTGGAAAATCCCATGGATGGAGGAGCCTGGTAGGCTGCAGTCCATGAGGTTGCTAAGAGTCAGACACGACTGAGCGACTTTACTTTCACTTTTCACTTTCATGCATTGGAGGAAATGGCAACCCACTCCAGTATTCTTGCCTGGAGAATCCCAGGGACGGGGGAGCCTGGTGGGCTGCCACCTATGGGGTCGCACACAGTCGGATACGACTGAAGCGACTTAGCAGCAGCAGCAGCAGAGATCCCCACTAGTCTTCCCGGGTGGTTCAGACGGTAAAGAATCTGCCTGCGATGTGGGAGATGCAGGTTTGATCCCTTGGTTGGGAAGATCCCCTGGAGAAGGAAATGGTAACCCACTCCAGTATTCTTGCCTGGAGAATCCCATGGACAGAGAAGCCTGGTGGGCTACAATCCATGGGGTTGCAAAGAGTCGGACACAACTGAGCAATTAACACTTTCATTATTTTTCAGAGTTCCTGTCAAAAGGCAGCCCAGAGTGACTAGTGGGTAGGACCCAGCAGAACTTAAAGGAATTCCTCACTGTACCCAGTTGACAATCCATAGCCCTGGCTGACCGTGAAGACCAGGAAGGAAAATGAGTCATGGGCGGGGGGGGGGGTTGGTGTCCTGAAGCTTATAAAGAAGAAACAACACCTGCAGATTTGTGTTCTGTTGGAGGAGGTGTCTGGCGTGCTGTGCGCAGTGCCTACCCAAGCAAAATAAGACTGCTCTCACTTTTTGGAAAGTTGGTCACAGTTGTAGAACCACCCAGGGGTTACTTTCCCAGACAAACCACAGTGGGCCGGCCAGCCCAGCCAGCCCAGCCAGCCCAGCCCCACGGACCTCCACCAGGGCCTTTCATGGGTAGCGTCATTTTCTCTTAACCACAAAACCGCAAGATAGAAATTCTCCAGGAGGGAAGAACACCTGGGGTTTCAGCAATGGGACCCAGCAGCGAGAGGGAGAGTCATCAGCACTCTGGCCACAGGGGAGGACCCGAGGCTGGAATGAAAGTCTTCGTCCACCTCTGAGACTCCTTCACTTCATGAGCGTTCATTCTGCCCCTGCTCTGAGGCTCAGTCAGACTTACAGAAGGAGCAGAAGAGCCTCAGGTGGGCCCACAAACAGCCGCTGGGTATCAGCGAGACATGGTGCATGGCAAGTGTTCGCTAAGTGTCCGAGGCTCAAAGATCTTGGCTCTGGTTCCTGTTCTGACATGTAAGATCAAGGCTCTTGGGGAAATCTCCCTTAGCTCAGCTTCAATCTTACCATAAAACGGTATTGTTTTAGAGAAGCTGGAGTCAAAATAACTATATGTGAAAGTGCTTGGAACAACACCACCAACAAAAGCACAAGCCCCAGAAGGTTTCCAGCAGTTACACCAACCACACCCAAGACGTAGTTTAGCTCGGAGGAAGAGCTCCAACTCTCGGGACACAGAGAACTGGCCTCCAAGCCCCTCACCATCACCCTCCCTCAGCAGTGAACACAGATATAACCTGTCAGCCTCAGCTTCCCCACCTGTAAAATGGGTTTGATCTCCCTCAAAGGTCTACTGTGAAGATTTACATGAGAAAATCCAGAAGTAAAACATTCGGCAAAGTGACAGGTCCTCTCAGAGTCCCAGGACATGCCATCTCAAGCAGGGCAGGTGGGTCAGTCTATAAGGACAGAGGTGACAGATATAAGTGGGCAATGAACCCCAGCACAGGCGGAGAGGGACACCAGACTCCCATGGACAACAGTGAGCTCTCTCAATTATGCAGATCACCTCAACA